CCGCAGAGCGAGCACATTGGGCTATCCCTCAGGCCGACACTGTGCAGCCGCTCATCCCCCCAGAACCCGTTGGCCGCAAGACATCGGAGCGTAGCCTTGTGCATGCCAGTCCAGTCGTCATCAGTACGGCTAGACACCAGGGCCTTCAGAGGGGCGAGGTAGGGTCCGTGGGAGAGGGTACTAAGGTAGCTTTCTTCGCAGCGGGCCTTGTCAAGGAGCCAAGCCTCGACACCCCACTGCGCAACCATCCTCACTGTGCGGGGGCACTCACGACAGAGATCAAGCACTTCACCGTCAGCAGTACACAGCTTGCCCACACCCGTTCCAAGAGTCCAACCGATCCTGAAACCAGAAGCCAGCGCAGCCGAAACAGGACCCGTAACCTGGCTCCAGGGTGTCTTGGCCCCTCTGAGGGCCTTGTCCGCGTTGAAGAGCATACGGCACAAGATCTCCCGAGGCATCCAGGCGTCCCAGAAGGCTTGGGCGAGCATGACAATGGGGTTCACCGTGCAAGGGTACGCGGGGTCGATGGACGCGGTGTCTCCAGGAACCAGAGCCAGGTCTATGGTGAGGGATCTGCGGGCCGTGTGAGGGAACAGGGCCGCCCTCGCAGCCCTCCTGAGGGCCATCACTCCGCTCCACGACCTTCCAGTGACCCCGTCACCCCAGGTCCCCGCAGGGACCAGCCCCATGCTGACCAGCTGTTTGCACTTTCCCCAGGCCCTGCGAAGTGCTCGGATTTTTACACAGCGCCTTCTGACCTTGCCCAGGCGCCCCAGCCGCGTGCGCATGCCCTGCCGCTTGCCGCAGCTGTAGTCGCAGCCCAGGTTGCGAGTCGACAGGTCTCTGGCCTGCACGAGCGACGGGCAGCGCTTGCCGAGGTCCACGCTGGCCTGGTAGTCATTGCCGATGAGCTTGCCCTTCTTCTCGTTCAGCAGCAGCTCGGCGTCGTGGAGTGCACTCCTCACCTGGCGGTAAGCCTTGCTGAGCTGCTGCACGACGGTGGGCCGAGTGCCTGTAGACTGCATCTGGATGTCGTCGACCACGTTGCCGACCGAGATGCCAGGCAGGCTCACCAGGTCATCCAAAATGGGAATAAGAAAAATGCGCATCATCAGGTCAGCGAATGAGCATCCTGCTACCACGCCACGCATCGGCGTCATCAGCTCGAAAACGATGCCTTCGAAGGATAGCAGCCTGGGCATGGAGTACAGCATGAGCAACAGCCGTAGCAAGCACATGTTGAAGCCCAGGTCGGTAGCACAGGTCGCCAGACGGTTCCAGCGGATGTACTCATAAGCCTTGGAGAGGTCCAGCAAGATGGAGAGGCAGGTCTTACCACTGTGTGTGGCCCACTCGCCTGCAGCCGCCTGCCTCCATACACAGGCCTCACAACTCTGACCTTCGGTGCCGAAGATGTAGCTGCGCTTGTTCTTGTCGGCCCACTTCGCGCCCGTGGTGGCCCGCAAGTATCGCGTCAGTGGCCGCACCGTGCCAGGGAATATGCCAATTGTGCGTCTCCCACCATCGGGCTTCGGAAGTAGAGCCTCGCGCATGACACGAATCGGGGCCGGGACGTAGCCAAGACGCAACATCTGAGACCAGAGTTCCAGCAAGGTCAGTAGCGCATCATCGCTTAGAAAGATCAAATGTCGAGGGTGGACCACGTCACAGCCCAGCCCTGTGTCCGACTTGAAGGTGCGTGCTGTCTTCCGCAGGTCCTCGATCGACGGGAGCTCGATGTCCCCGACGTCCGTGGGCCAGCGAACGGCTGTGATGCCTTCGCCTTGGCCCCATAGGTCGTGCCACGGTTGAACAGCGTCACGTGCCTCGTCCACGAGAGACTTGGCAATGCCAGGTCCAGCCGCTGCATTGGTGCACGCCCAGGGGGCATCCTGCTTGATCCACTTGAAGGCGCGCCGCATGCCGCCGTCATCGGTGGCATCATGGGACCAGTCCACCCATGCCTTGTACCTGCGGTAGGAGGCCTGGCCAGCAGCGCGCTCGGCGCACTTCTCCAGGTCGTGCATCAGGTGGTCGAGGTCGTCCTCACCCAACTGATCAAGTCGTCGGACGAGGGACCGCCATGCCCCCCACATGTCGGGCCAGCGCGTGGGCTGCGGCAAGGTGAACCGCATCAGCCGCAGCTGCAGCCGACGAAGGCGTAGTTGTCCTTCAGCGCTATGGTGGCGGCACACCGCGGCACGTCGCCAGCGCCACTCACGAAGCCTCTGGGCAAGCCATTGCCAGTGGCCCTCGCTGGGGTCAGCTGCTCCACGTCCTTTCGCTTGGTTGCGGCAGTGCATCTGCAGGGTCGAGTGCACCAGACGAACGCCGTCGGACCTGCCACGGTACCGCTCAGGCTGCTCGCAGCCGAAGTGCTGGAGCATCTCGTCCTCGTAGCGCCGCAACCACGCGCTGAAGGCCCCGTCCAGGCTGTCGCAGTCATGGGCTGCAGCAGCCGCCTCGCTTGCCGCCTGCCAGTCAGGTCCTGGAAGCTGGGGTCCCACCAGTTGGCTCGAAGGGAAGGCCTTGGCCATGTGGGCCTTGCGCACCATGAGCGGGATCTGCGACACGTCCAGCTCGAGGATGACGCCCTTGTGCGGCGTGACCGAGAGGCCGTCGAAGGTGCGAGCACGGCACCCATGCAGGTCGTGCCGCACGAGGAAGTAGTCAATGACCCTGGCGCTCGTGGCCGTGTAGCACGTGGCCTGGTCGGGCGCGACCACCTCGCCCTTCACTGCCTTGGGCCAACGGAGGCAGTTGAGGGACTCGGGCAGGTTCTGCCAGTCGCCGCCCAGGACGTATGGCCTGCCTGCGGCGTGCAATACGCTGCCGATCTGGAAGAGGAGGTCGAGGTTCACATCCTCCAGGTCCTTGCTGGTGTGCAGGTAGAGGCCCGCCAGCACCAGCCCCTCCTTAGGCCCCAGGTCGGTGGTCCAGAAACCCTGACGAGCCGTACCAGGCGCATGGATGCCGTCATGGTCGAACTGCAGGCGTCTGAAGGCGACGTGCGGCCTGACCAGGAGGCCGATGCCGCCAGTGGTGCCGTCGCCGTTGCCCGTGCGCCGAGCAGGGTAGAGGTCAGCCTTCCACCCAAGGGCCTTGGCGGCCTTCATCGCCGACTCGACCCTGGTCTCCTCCAGGTGGTGCTCCTGGATGAGCACAGCCTGCACGTCATCGGGGATGCGCTTCTCCTCCAGTTGCGTAAGGAGGGAGCCCCAGCCCGTGACATTGACCGTCATGATCTTGCAGGCCTTGCCACGATGTCTCTGCAAGACCCTGGGCGGCGCGGCCCCATCAGGGGCCCCCCCTCCGTCTTTCACGCTAGCCGACCTACGGCCGACCTGGTCCTCCAGGACCGACGCTGATGGCTCGGCGGCCGTGACAGCTCTCGGAGAAGCGGGGGGGTGATCACCCCGATCCCCAAGAGGCCCAAGGGGGCAGCAGTCGGAGCACGCTATGGCTGGGAGCCTGCATCTGATGTCAGCTCCATTCCCAACCTGCAGTAAAACGTGCCCGGCTTGGGGTCGGGCTGCTCCAGCTCGAAGGCCCCGTCGACGACGTCGTCCAAGGCTGTGCGCGCGCCGAAAAGCCGTGGCGCTGCATCGTGTGTGAGATGCAGGACAGCTGCCCGTGGAGCTCGCCGTCGTAGTGCCACCTGAGTCGTCAGGATCGCTGTCCTCGTAGTCGCTGACGGTCACCGTGTCAGAGCAGCCCGTGTAGGACGAGTCAGACCTGGCCTCCTCTCCGACGGGGCGGCGAGGATCCACTCGAGTATCAAAGAACTCCTGCTCCCTGATCATCGCCTCGGCGTGGAGGGCAAGCTGGTTGTCGTACTCATCGGGGTCGAGGGCCTCGAGGCTCCGCAGCCAGTCATGGTAGTGGAAACGCGCTCGCCGCCGAGCACGGAATGCACGCCTGCAGATGTCGATAGCCATATCAACTGCCGCAATGTGAGGGTTGTCATGCCCATCCTGCTGGGCCTTCTCCATGACCAGCGGCCTCAGAAACGGGTGCGACAGGTAGTTGGCAACGTAGGGCACGCAGTGCCGCCTCCAGTGCATCCCGTCCATATCGTCGTCCAGGACGCGCGGGTCCTCCAGCCAGTGCCCCGTGAATCTGAGAAGGGCACGTTCGAGCTCACGCTGGAGCACAAGTGCGCGTTGCCTAGCAGGGTCCATATCTTTCCAGACGCAGTAATCAGGGCCAGCCACGGCCTGCATGTCATCATACGTCGGACCGTCAAGATGGGTGGCCCCAGTGTTGGTGAAGGAGGTGCCGTCACTCTCGCCGCCTAGGTAGAAGCAGTCGTCATAGACTGGACCAGGCGCCCATGCGGGAGTGGAAGCCGAAAGTGAAGAGGAAGAAAACCACTGCGCGTCGTCGCAGTGCCCCATGTAGTAGTGGCCGTCCCAGACGTGGCACCTCCGAAGAGGTGGATCGCCCACAAGCCCGAGAACGGCGAGATCTTCGTGACCGTGTAGATGCCGATGGTGAGGACCGACCCCGTCAGGGACGTCAAAGGGTCGGCCGTGGAGCAGTGACGGCCCCGCCGCTGCTGCCAGCACCGCGGCCAGCGCCCTTGGCTGCAGCAGCCAACCGCGCGCGCGGCGCCGCCACCACATCCTTGTCGCCATCGGCGACGAGGCCGCCAGGCTCGGCCGCTGGGCCAGCAGGCGCCGTGGGGCCTCCTGCCTCGCCTGCCGTCTTGGCCCCCGCTGCCGCAGCTGGTGCCGCTGGCTGCGCCACCGCCTCGGCCGCCTCGCCTGAGGTCTTGCGCTTCTTCTGGAGGCGGTCCTTGAGCTCCGAGTGCTGACGCTCGAGCTCGCGGGCCTCCTGCGCGAACTTGCCGAACGCCTCCTGCGCCATGGCCTTGAACTTGCTCTGGAGATCGGCCTTGCGTCTGGCAGCCTCCTCACGGTCTGACTCCTGAATCTCGTAGTCTTCCAGGGCCTCCAAGCCGAAGAGACCTTCGTCGTCCAGCTCCACGTTGTCACCCTGGAGCAGCTTGGCGATGGACAGCTTGCCTGAGAGCGGCGGGCCAGCCGTCTGCGGTGTTGCGCCAGCGACCTGCTGCGCCAAGGCCTGCACAGCCGTAGTGTAAGCTGCCAGAGCCTCATCGTACTTGGCGGAGCGGGCCACCACCACCGACTTGGCGCTGTCCAACTGGGCCTGGAGCGAGTCAGCATGCTCGACCGCCTTGTCCAAGGCCTCAGCTGCCGCATCCCTGGCAGCCATGGCCTCGTCCACGGACAAGGGCCGCGCCCGACGGGCACTGCGCAGGCTGTCGAGCTGCTCCTGGTACTTGCGCACTCCGCCCTCGTCCTGCTCCTGGCGGAGCAAGCTGATGAGCTGCACCAGCTTGGCCTCCTCGGGGTCGGCGTCGCTGCCGCTGGGCAGCTCTTCCACGCTGGACAAGGCGAAGCGGACCCTGGAGCCGTCACGCCGTCCCCCTGGCGTATCGGCTCGGCCACCTGGCCCAGGTCGCAGCCCGTCCTCTTCGTGCCAAGGCGCACGCTGCACCACACGCCGCTCAGCAGAGCGAGGGCGCCGAGGAGGGGCCTGCGTCGGCACAAGTTCGCCCTTGCAGTGCTTGCAGTAGCGCCACCACGCCTCGTTCCTGCGGCAGCCACACTTGCAGCAAGGGGTGCCGCCGCCTGAGATGGCAGGGCCGTCGCCGCCGCGCGCCGCGCCCTGCGGCCGCTGGCCGCGCGCTGGGCCCGCAGGGGGGCCTCCGCCGCGGGGCCCATGCATGGGCGGCTGGCTGCCGTGGTGCGCCTGCAGCAGCAGGCGATCGCGATGCCGCCGAAGCCGAGCACGGGCGGCAGAGCGCTGGCGCCGCGCCCTGCGGTGCCAGGCGGGCGAGCGCTCGCGCTCGCGAGGGCGCCCCTCCGTGGGGCTGGGGGCAATCGCCGCGGGCGACGGCGATCGCAGGCGCCGCGTGCCCGAGAGCTTCGCCTCGCGCCCCAGGGGGGGCGGGAGGCTGGGGTCGTGGCCGTCGGGCTGTCCCGAAAGGAAGGAACGCCTCGGACCACAACGCCTGAGGAGGAGGAGGAGGAGGAGGAGGAGGGAGGAGGAGGGAGGAGGAGGGAGGAGGAGGGAGGAGGAGGGAGGAGGGAGGAGAAGGGAGGAGGAGGAGGAGGAGGAGGAGGAGGAGGAGGAGGCCCCATGCCCCCGCATCGAAACCACTGCAGCAGCCAGATGTCTGGGTATGGCGTGCCGCCAGGGCTGCCGCCGCGACGCGCTGTAAAAGCAGCAGGCCATGGCAAGCTTTCGGAGGCCCGCGTCGAGCTTCTCGGATCGGCGTTGGGCCCCGCTGACGGCACCTCCTGCGGTGAAGGGGGCCCCGCACCAGTCCAAGAAGTCCTCCCGGGCCTCCGAGCCATGGTTTTGGTGCAGATGTTGCGCCCTCCAGGGATGGCCTCGAAGTTCGACGCCCCCACCCTGTGCGTTCAGGGCATCCGGGACGGCGTCAGGATCGGGGAAACGCAAGACTCGAGACAGCTGGAACTCGGGTTCGCCGGCGTTTGTTGTCGAGCGCGTCCTGGATTTTGACGGCCCAGTTTTCGAGGGATGTTTGCAGCGGGAGTTCGCGTCAAATTTCGGGTTGGGTTTCGTCATTTTTATGATGGCCCCGTCAGGCCAACCCGAATCGCCCGTATCCGAGTCTTACGTCTCCCCGACAGGAGGGACGCGATCGAGTCGGAGTTCGAGGCCTTCGGGAAGCTGATGCGCGTGGACATCGTCCCCGGCAACGCGCGGCGGGGGGTCCCGGACTCGCGGATCGCGTTCGTGGAGTTCGCGAAGAAGGACGACGCGAGGAACCGGGGAACAAACAGTGGCATGCAAACACACCCAGAGTTCCAGCGCTCCCAAAAAATTGTAGCGGCGGGATTTGGACCATTTTCGGCCTCCAGGAGCCCTCGCCGGGCTTCGTCTCCTCCTGTGCGCGCTCTGCGCGAGGCGCGAGCCGCAGCCCCTCCCCCCTTGCCTCGGCTGTGTCCGAGGCTGAGCTCCTTCCTCGCGCGCGACTCCCCCCAGACCTCCTCGAGTCGGGACACAAATCAGGAGGGGAAAAACACACACAAACACAATTAATTGTCGATTCCCCAGAAAATATGGGAAAATATGGGAAGTAGACAAAAACCCTGAAAAGATAGGAAAATATGGGGAATCGTTTTATTTGTGTGTACGTATTTTTTTGCGTGTCTCAGGGCCCCTTGACAAAAATCACGACGGGAGGTTTCTCGCTATTTTTGCTTTCCAGGGGCCCTCCTCGGGCCTCGGTGCCGTCCGGACATCGACTCGGGATGCAAAGCCGGTCCCCGGGGAAAGGGTCCGGGCCTCCGGGGGTCGACGTTGTGAAATAACCGCGACGTCGGGGGTCTGGGTCCCCACGCAGCCGCCCCCCCTTCAATCGAAGGCGAGAAGAGCGGCACGAACGAACACTCTTGGCGGTCCGCGCGGCTTGTCTTGGATCCGCGCTGGGCCCCGCCGACGGCGCCTCCAGCGCCGCCCCTGGGCGCAGCTCCAAGAAATCCGCGCGGAGCGCCACAAGTTTAGTGTGTATGCCGTTTTTTCTTCTTCTGCTCGAGGGGAGGAGAGTGCGCTGGAGAGGCATCCGCGGGGAGCCGCTCCGCGACAACGCGTCATTCGCACCGTCGCCCCGCGACCGAAGGTATCGAGCGAAGACCCGCTGGCCATGCGCCGAGCGCGCGTCGGAGAAGAAAGACGCCATAATAAACGTTTGGCGCTCCGCGCAGATTCCTTGGATCTACGCTGGAACCACCTCCCTGGCGCGCGGAGCGCGCTGGGGGCGGCGCCGTCGGCGCCGCCGGGGAGAGCGGCCCGGCGCGGATCCAAGAAATCCGCGCGGAGCGCCACAAGTCTATGTTAATGCCGTTTCTTCTTCTTCCTCTTCTAGAAGACTTCGTCTTCTTCTTATGATTATTATTCTTCTTCTAGAAGACTTATTAGTGTTATTATCATTTCTTCTTCTTCTTCTAGAAGATTTCATATTATTATTCTTAGTGTCCTTCTTATTGCTATTATTATTATTATTATCATCATTATCATTATTATTATTATTATTATTATTATTACTACTGTTCTTATTCTTATTATTATTATTATTATTATTATTATTATTATTATTTGTTGTTATTCTTCTTCTTCTGGTATGGCCCGTTGGCCATGCGTCGAGCGCGCGCCGCCTGGAGGAAGGCCATGCGGGCACTCAACGGCCGCTACGTGCAGGGGAAGTGCGTCATGATCCAGTTCGCCCGGGGCGTCCCCGGCCAGAGCCGCGCCAGCGGGGCGCCCGCGGTCCGGTCGGGGGCCCCGGAGGCGATCCCGCAGGCGGGCGGCGGCACCCCCCTCGGGAGGGGTGCGAGGGCGACGAGGACGACGAGGAGAAGGAGGAGGAGGAGGAGGAGGAGGAGGAGGAGGAGGAGGAGGAGGAGGAGCAGCACGAAGGACGGGAGGAGGTAGGAGGAGGGAAGGAGGAGGAGGAGGAGGAGGAGGAGGAGGAGGAGTGGAGTGGGAGGGGAGAGGAGCGAGGAGGAGGAGGAGGAGGAGGAGGAGGAGGAGGAGGAGGAGAGGAGGAGGAGGAGGCGGTAGGGGGAGGAGGAGGGGAGGAGGAGGAGGAGGAGGGAGGAGGGGAGCAGAGAGGAGGAGGAGGAGGAGGAAGGAGACGAGGAGACGAGGAGACGAGGAGAGGAGACGAGGAGACGAGGAGGAGACGAGGAGGAGGAGGAGGAGGAGGAGGAGGAGGAGGAGGAGGAAGGAGGAGGAGGAGGAGGAGGAGGAGGACGGGAGGAGGAAGGAGGAGGAGGAGGAGGAGGAGGAGGGGGGAGGAGGAGAAGGACGAGGAGGAGGGGGGAGGACGAGGGGGAGGGGGGACGGGGAGGGAGGACGGGGAGGGAGGGAGGACGCGGGCACCACCCAGTCGTGGGTGTCGCGTAATTCACGGGGGGGGCGCACAGGGGGGTGCAGCGAGGGTTGGAGAGAAGGGGCCCTTGTCAACCAGTGGCGAAGCGTCCTCGCTCGCCTATAGGCCTACCAAAGAATGTTCTAAGAACCGCTTGTGGTCTGCACGAACTGTTCTGAAAACATGTCTGCCTGAGACTGTCGTGGTTTAGCACATGGGGCTTATGTTCTAAGAACATTGCTTTTGTTATGAAAACATGTTGGGGTTCTAAGAACATGTCGTGGTAGGCTCATAGGAATGCCCGGACGGTCGGTCCCCGCTCAACCTCTGTGGCCCCTGAAGGAGCCCAGAAGGGCCCCAAAGGGAACCGCCAGGGCCCGAGAAGTGCACCTTTCCTCCCCCCCCCCCTTTTACTTATCCCCGCCCACGGATTCACGCCTAACAGTGGTGAGCAACGATGCGGGGGGGGGGGGGAGAGGCATCGGGGAGCGAAACTTCGAGGCTCGAGTCTCCTGAGGTTTCCTGGAGTTCCGGCTCTCGGCGGCTTTCGAGCCTCAGATCGTCTTCCAGCGGTTTTGCGCCTCGCCGAGTGCGTTCTGGGGATGCTTGGATCGTCCCGAGCGGCCGCCAGAGGCCCGAGCAGGGACGCGTCGACCCCCAGTCACCCACTGCTCGCCGGTGGAGGCCCGGTGGCCAAAACCCGCCCAGGAAGGCACGGCTTCGTTATCGGGGAGGAGGAGGAGGAGGAGGAGGAGGAGGAGAAAGGAGAACGGAGGAGGAGGAGGAGGAGGAGGAGGAGGAGGAGGAGGAGAAAGAGCACGGAGGAGGGGAGGAGGAGAGGAGGGAGGAGGAGGAGGAGGAGGGGAGGATAACGGAGGAAGGTAGGAGAGGAGGAGGAGGGGGAGGAGAAAGGAGAACGTAGGAGGAGGAGGCGGAGAGGAGGAGGAGGAGGAGGAGAGGAGGAGGAGGAGAAAAGGAGAACGGAGGAGGAGGAGGCGGACGGAGGGGAGGAGGAGGAGGAGGAGGAGGAGGAGAAAGGAGGAGAAAGAAGCAGGAGAAAGAAGGAGGAGAAATGAGGAGGAGAAAGGAGGAGGAGTAGGATAAGGAGAAAGGAGGAGTAGGAGGAGGAGGAGAAAGGAGAAAAGGATGAGGAGAAAGGAGGAGGAGGAGGAGGAAGAGGAGGAGGGGATGAGGAGGAGGAGGAGGCGGAGGCGGAGACGGAGACGGAGACGGAGACGGGAGAGGGGAGGAGGAGGAGGGGAGGAGGAGGAGGAGATAGAAAGGAGATAAGGAGAACGGAGGAGGAGGAGGAGGAGGAGGAGGAGGAGTAGGAGGAGGAGAAAGGAGAGAAACGGAGGAGGAGGAGGAGAAAGGAGACTGAGGAGGAGGAGGAGGCGGAGGAGGAGGAGGAGGAGGAGAGGAGGAGGAGCGAGAACGGAGGAGGAGGAGGAGGAGGCGGAGGAGGAGGAGGAGGAGAAAAGAAAGGAGAACGGAGGAGGAGGAGGAGAGAGGAGGAGGAGGAGGAGGAGAAGAAAGGAGAACGGAGAACGGGGAGAAGGAGGAGGAGGAGGAGGAGGAGGAGAAAGGAGAACGGAGGAGGAAGAGGAGAAGGAGGAGGTGGAGGAGGAGGAGGAGGAGGGAGGAGGAGAAGGAGAACGGAGGAGGAGGAGGAGGAGGAGGAGGAGGAGGGG